GTGTGTGTGTGTGTGAGAGAGAGAGAGAGAGAGAGAGAGAGAGAGAGAGAGAGAGAGAGAGAGAGAGAGAGATCAGCTGTATTGAGAAGAGAACGTTTCCTGTGTTCTCATTTTATTTACAACATATTTTACGCTTAATGGTAAGCAATGAAAAATATTTTTAAAACTCATTTCTAAACTCCATAGCTATTGGCATATTCTTGGTTCAAAATTGGATTAGCTCATTTCAAAATTGTCCAAAGCAGAAAAGTGCGTCAAAAAAAAAAAAAGTGCAAAAGTGGAAGGTGTGTGGAAGAGGGGTAGTCTTATACGGCGAGTATATAACAAACTCTACATTTTGAGTGGAAATGTTGGGGGGTCGTCTTATACGCCCAGTCGTCTTATACGCCGGCAAATACGGTACTTAGGACCATTTTTTTCACACTTACGATGATCGCAGCCTCCCGGTGATCAAAATTCAGGCGCTTGGCCACTGACTCATATTTATGATGGTCTCAGTGCCCCGGGGTCACGTGATCCCCTTTTGCGACCCTCGGGAAGCCAGATTCACTTAACAGCCATGTTATTAACTTGTGATTTACTTAATGAAGACGGGAAGAAAGATCGTAAAATGAAGCAAAACTCACCTAGCCAACGTCTCACTTAGCATAAACATAAATTTGGAGCTCAGTTTTGGTTGTAAGTTGAGGATTACCTATAGGGTTATCCAGATTTTTACAGATAAAGGTAAAGGTTCCCCTCACACATGCGCGCTAGTCATTTCCTGCTCTAGGGGGCAGTGCTCATCTTCGTTACAAAGTCGAAGAGCCAGCGCTGTCTGAAGACGTCTCCATGGTCATGTGGCCGGCAGGATTAAACGCCTTCGAAGGCGCACGGAACGCTGTTCCCTTCCCACCAAAGGGGTCCCTATTTTTCTACTTGCATTTTTTGCTTGCTTTCGAACTGCTAGATTGGCAGAAGCTGGGATGAGTAATGGGAGCTCACTCCGTGATGCAGCGCTGGGGATTCGAACCGCCGAAATGCCAACCTTTCTGATTGACAAGCTCAGAGGCTTAGCCACTGAGCCACCGTGTCCCTATTTTTGCAGTTGGGGGAGGCCTAAATAGTATTTTGGCGACTGTGGTCAGTGGGAAAACCAAGGCAGGAAAAATTAAATTCAGGGGTTGCATAAAACTCAATGTCTTGGGATATTCTGCCACAATGCAAAAAATGATGCGTACCAGTTCGAGAATTCTTCCATATTATTTTCTTCAGAATGTTTATATGTCATTACGCGAGTTTCTGAGTTACTGAAAAACATAATGGGCTTTATTAGCAAATCATTTTAAATGCAGCAGGCTGTTATGTTTTTTTTTAATATTGCTATAGCCAATTGGCCTTTCAGAAAAATTGTTAAAATGACAAACAAGATTGTGTTGTTAATATCTCCGGCTATTCCGCTGTGCTGAAAACTAATAACACTAATTGTAGATGTTAAAAAAAAAAAAAACAGGCGCAGGGTACATTCCGAAATCTATCTGCTACTACTTGCTATAACAGAGGTAGTCCTTGACATACGACCGCCACTGAGTCCAACATGTCTGCTGTTAAATGAGACATTTGTTAAGGGGGCTAACAAATGACTGAGAATCTCCATAGACTTTTACAACATAATCACCAAACTGAATCCCATCCCTGTCAACTAGGTACATATTTCTTGTGCTTACCATTATAATTCATGCTTTGCTTACCACGATAACAACAATCACATTTTCTTGTAAGTATTATCCAATATAATCTATTTTTTAAACAATCTTCTTATTGCTTTATATATTCATCTTGTCCATTTTAATTTATTTTATTTTCTAACCGTTGATAAAAATACATCCCATACCATATAATATTCAATTTCTTCTTTTTCTTTGATTACCAATGTTAACCTATTCATTTTAGTTTACTTTATTGTCCAATGATTTTTTTTATTTTTATGTTTTAAAAAACATCTCTTTTGGTGAACAATGTGGTTCCAGGCAGGGGTGGGATACGACAGGGCTAACTACCGGTTTGGGATTTACGAGCTTCCCTGCAGGCCAGTGAGCTGCGCGCCTGTAAATCGTCATCAGCAGCTGCCTGCAGAGAAGCAGCCTTTGAAACAGCCCTGTTTCTTGCTTTTCTAACTGCAGCTGTGCCTCATTCGGCAGCTGAAGTTGAAAAATCAGGAAATAAAGATCAGGTAAAAGCCCGGGTGGGTGGGCAGGCAAAAACATCAGCAGACATAGAACCGGTTCTATGTCTGCTGGTCTTCAGAGCTCCCGGTTCTACAGAGGTGGACGGAACCAGTAGAAACCCACCCCTTGTTCCAGGTTTTTACATTTCAATACA